CGTCGGGCAATTCCCCGCCGCCAAGTTTAGCAGTTGCTGGACCTCAACGGCAGCGGCTCGTCGGGGCGTGCTGGAGCCAAGGGAATCTTTGTTCGCGGTTTTTCATGGGGCACGACCGGGCTTCCTTTCGGCTTAGTCGTCGTTTTACCACCGTGACAGCAGTCCCCTCGGCTGATATCGACCCGGCCACCGGAGTCCCAGCATTGCATGGACTCCTAGCAGTAGTTTTTTTGCCTTTCTGTCGGTCGGTTCTTCTCTGATTGACTCGGCAGTCATGTTTGCCGTGCGCATCGTCACCGCAGACTACTATCTGGCAAGTCCCATTAAAAACCTGGACGTGTGCTATTCTGAATTCAGGGAGAGCGACGTGAACAAAGTACCAGTGGTGCGGATATTTGGAGCAACACCCACAGGTTAGTCAACTCTTCTGCCTATTTTTATGGGTTTCTGTATTTATTAGAGCTAGATGTGGTGGTCCTCTCTTGCACCGCACCACGCGGCATGTTACGTGGTCGCGGCTGCTATTTGGACTGGCTCGCCAAACCACACGCCAGTACTGTATTGTTCCGAGAAAATGGAACAGGTTTAGTGTACAAAACGATGACAGGAAGATAATTAGGGTGTTGACAAACTGTAACAACACGGCGTGCGCCGCTGCTGCTTTGCATATATGCTGCCTGCAGCCATGGGAGTCCTCTGCTTCCCCCTTCCCTCCCTCCTCACACGGCTTTGCTTTGTTTTCGCTCCTTTGCTCCATCATGGTAAGGTACTGGCGGAAACCGTTGGCTTCTAGGGTTCGACTTCTGCCTCTGTCTGCCACGTGTGGCGTTCACGGACAGTGTATTTACTTTCCTTGATGATCATTTTATTCTTCTCATAGCTACCTGTGGAGTGTTGACAGGTTAGACTACAAGATGTTGTCACCTCTGAGCTTTCCTTCAGTTTTGCAGCTCAATACAACTAAAAGGTAGAACAATGAAAGGACACCCTATTCATCACCGTAGTGAAACTGAGTGACTGCATCACTTTGACCAGCCAAAGACATGCAGCAATGTATAAGTAGCGGAGGATCTGACGAATTTTGCGGTTTTGTATAAGCACTAGGGTGTCAAATAGGTGCTTTTAAGACGACAGTACAGTCTGACAGGGCAGAATTCATGGTGACAACACATTAGTATGCAGGATATAAGAATGAGGGAGTCATGATAAATGAAAACAGGACTCTGTATTATGTGACAATGAAATGCATAGTGCATGTTCACATTATTACCAACAAGGCCTATATATAGCAAAATGCCATGGCTTGCAGATTGCCACTGTAAAATTGGTATTCATTCAGTGTAAACGTTGTGCAAAGGAGAGGCTAAGCTTTACTGCCAGCCTGTGTGTTCTCTGAGCTTTGGCACATATCCTGCTCTCCAATGAAGCCATTACAGCCGAGCACTGTGGGTACCTTAATCCCCCACACCACAAAACACTAGAATAATTTCCTGCACAATGACCCAGCATTAGTACTCCAGACAGATCTTCTTGTGACTACCTGTTCCCTCAATTGTATTTGAAAGCTGAAAAGACCATTGCAGTACAGTGACAATTTATATTTTATTAAACGGGGTTAGTCCCCAGTGAGGAAAAATGGCAGTTAAGCTTGTCTCCTATTCTGTGTTGGTGCTCCACAGGACGGCTGCGAGCAGCGTCCAGCAGGATGTACGTCACTGAGGATTAAAGGCTTAAGAGCAGAGAAATGAAGGACAGGGGGTCATGGTTTAGGGTGTCAGGTCTAATTTGGTTCTGTCATGAACCTGCACATTCACATGCAGTTGTGCTAATATGAGGCGCTGCACACACACAGTGCAGCAGCAGATAGCAGTTGAATGAATGTATATTGAGCAGCAAATTATCAACACTGATTTGAGCATCATGATTTACATAGTGCTGCAAGTTACAGTATAGTGATCCAAGATGGGATTTTGGTTAACATAATATTTGTATTTATATGCTGCATAATAGTTTAGTAGTGCAGTTTCCTGTGTGTGGTATGTGTTGCTGATGATTAATCAATTAGGTGGACTGACAAATAGTTAATTAAGTGATCATTTCAAACTAATGTTGCTTTCGTCAACGAAAATTATGACTAAATATCGTTGTCAATGAACTTTTATCACGTAACGAGACGAGATGCAATGAAAATGCTGGTCATGTGACGATGACTATAATTAAATGTATAATGCAGTATTGTTGATGAAAAAAACCAGACTAAATGTGGTTTACAAAATAAAAACTATGCTAGAATGTCTCTTCATTTTTGTTGACCAAAATGAGATGAAACAAAATGTTTTATAATGTTATTTCGTCTCATTTAGTCACATTATTTTGCAGTATTTTTGTTTCCTGTGTCTCGCTTCAGGGGCCGCATCAGGTCACACTGCACAGACGCAGGCGACGTCACTTCCTTAAGCCCCACTTGAGGCATTATTTAGAAGACGACAACAAACAAAGTTAAGTCTGACACAGAGAAAGGGACCGATGGCCGGCCAGCCGGGGCTCGTCTTTGGGAGAAAAAGAAGAAATGACATTTGGAAAAACTTTCATTACATAGAAGTGGAAAAGAGAACTGCATGAATGTGTTGTGGAAAAAGATGGGGAGAAATGCGGCCACAAAATCACACAAAATGTGTAGTGGATGTATTCTTGAGTCTATAAGGTAACAATAATATAATAAGACAACCTTGTTTGAAATGGATTTGGCTAAAAGAAACTTTTGGTTTCATCTATACTACTAGGTACTTGTACTATATTGACTGGGTTAAATAGAATTGCATTACTAAAAAGAGACTAAAATACAATTTTCATTGACTAAAACTAGACTAAAATGTCATCAGTTTTCGTC